GGTATGGAAGGTTTTTGATGTCTCCACAGCTAAGCTGCTTATTGCTACTGCAAATCGTGAAGTAGTACTGCGCGGAATTGTCGCCTTCGCAGTGCGAAAATTGGATGGTTAAAAAGATGAAGATTGTTATGGCGAGGGATTTTGGTAACGGCTCCATATCATTTGGTCTGAGATTTGCCGTTGGGGTTTGGCAGAAGGATACATTTATATATGTATTATATACAATTGGCAATAGTAATGCCAAATTAATTATTGAATGATGCTGATTCATATTTTGCCAAAAATCCGGAGGCGGCCCAGTGCAATGCTTTGGGCAAAGAACGCTAAGTTGGTTTGTAATAAGATTTTTCTTGGAAAATAGATAAGAGATAGAGACAGGAAAGAGATGGCTTTAAGTCTCGATCAAAACTACAAAGACTAATATGCTGCCAACAGACTACTTGTCATTTTGACACAGTTAGAGGTCACTATGAAGAAACGTGGAAAGTGGGTTTGTAAACTGAAGAATAACTAATTAGATAAATAAAAGGAGAAACATTCTTCCAAAATAGTGGAGCCCATAATCAGTTGAAGTCTCTATTGTGTAGCTTGCGAATAAATAAACGTTTTGTTATTTAGTTAGCCATCTTGTGTAATTATCCAGCCGCCGAACTGGTCAAAAGTTTATGATTACGTACGGAATTTTTCCTATGGAGAAAAATCAAACTTTTGTTATTTGTCTCTAAATTGGAAGGAAACTCGATCGTAGGCAATGTAGAGAAAACGTGCCAGTTTGGACGTATGAAAATAAAAGGGGAAAATATCAGAAATACAACCCAAAATGTTAAAAAAATATATTATTTATATTACTCCATTATAAAAATAAATAATTATTATTTAATGAAAAATAAAAAATCACGACAGTACTCAATTATTGAAAATGATATAAATAATTGTACAAAACTCTAACAAACCACATTTTTCTGAATAATAAAAGACGTTGAAGTCTCACCCATGTCCTAAGCAAAATGAAAGAAAGGAAAATAAATAATAAATTAAAATAAAAATTCAAAATAATAAATTAAAATAAAAATTCTTACCCGTGCACACGTATAGATGTACGTAGTCGACTGAACTGAGGGCGTAGTTGTCAAGATTGTAAAAATATACGCGTAACTAATTGCATTGAATTCTGTATAGGAACTAATTAGTTCGTCAATATAATATGAATATCGAATCTAGATATGCATGTGGGTAGAGTCAATGCAGTCAAAAATTGTACTCAAGTAGTATATATGAAGAAATGTAGACAAATGAGCTCTCTCATCCTCTGCTAATTTCGAAAGATACAAAACAATCCATGTGATCACCTAACCAAAAAAGAAAAAAGTAATAAAAACATGTAAAAAAGGAAACATATAAGATCGATCTTCCAATACTATGCAACATATTTCTGCAAACTAGTCTAAATATTTAGGTTTAAATGTGATGGAGATTATCTCTAAGTTTTTCATTGTGCTTAATAATCTTGACAGGATTTGAATTATAGGAAATTTACTTTGTTGAAATATTTTGTTTATGTTCGAGAGGGATTAATGAATATATTAAGAAAACTCACAATAATAAGGAATGCATATAATTAATTTAGTTAGGAAATTCATATAGGATTAGTTATGGTGAATCAAAACCCCTAGTAGCTAAATTTTTATTGCCAATTTATTATGTTTTATTTACTTTGAATAGTCCTATTTTTTGATGGGTTATTCAAATAATCTTCACTATTAACAATTTCAATTTCGGCCTATAATTAAACTCAATCCTCGTGGGACAATACTCTAATTAGACGGTCGTGGTGTAGTTATAACTTATTATTTTATTACTTGTGACGAATTGTGCACTTGCGAAATTAATAAACTAGCTTTAAGATTAAATTGTGTATTTTTTTTCCTTTTTCTTCTTTTATTTTATTTTTCCTTGTTTTTAATTTTTTTTTTGTGTTGTTCACTTTATTTTATTTGAGTAATCAAATAATGTTGCATCGATCATTGACGGTCGTGGTGTAGTGGTAAAGAAGCATTTGTTAGGTCTCCTCTACCTATCTTTCTAGGGTTCGAATCTCCATTCACGTAAAAGGTTGCCCAACCCCTTCGAGGAAATTAAGTAGGCTCATGTGGGCCACACCATAGGTGGAGGGAGTGAAAATCGATTGGATGGTCGATGGGAGATTCGTTCAGGCTATTTTCACGTTCTCAGTGGTACTCAAGATTGCTGCTATAGCTGAAGGGACTAGAAGACGTAAAATGCACCACCAAATTCCTTTTTTTTATCAACAAAAAATAAAGCTCCATCGATTAGTCATCACAATTGTTTTGTCCAACACGACATGAAATCATTTTAAGTGGCTTGGGAGTGATTTAGTGGAAAGGTAACTCAATCACAACTTTTCCAAAGTGAAATCTTCTCCAAATATTATGCTAAGGATGGAGCTATGAAGTAGAAATTAGGTGGATAATGCGCCATTTCCGATATTAAGGAATCTTGAGAATAGATTAAGCATGCAAAAATTTAATAGTGAAACGATAATTAAGACAATAGAAACCCAAATATATATAAATAAAAAATAAGGTAATTTTCAGAGTTAGGATTTCATTTAGCTCTTTGGTTAGCTTTTTCGACCACGTGGAATATGGAGAATATGAGAAGCTTGCCTCCAATACCGTTGGAAATGTGTATCATCTTTTATCCTTTTCGGTTAGATTGGCCCAAGGACTAACCTGGGCCTTCATATGCCTCAGTTATCCACCTTAGTTCATACTCGCAGCCAGAAAATTGTTTGCTTTTTTGTTTTTTATTCTTCATTATTACTCTTTTAATTAATACTGTTCTTTAACTAAAAAAAATATTAATTAAGAGTAACTAATTAAAAATTTAAATTCATGCACTCAATATTTGTCTCATTTCCCATATTGCATCTCCACACTATTAAGAATCAAAAGAACCAATTTTTTTTTTTTTTTGGGAAATAGTAGAAAATAGGCCAATATGAAAAGCTTAAGAAAGTATATAGGTCAATTTTTAGCTATAAAAATTAATAGGCCATAACTTGTCAAGTTATGGTTCATAACCAGATAAGTTATGGATAAATTTGTCAAGTTATGGTTCGTAGTCAGACAAGTTATGGATAAAAACCGTGAATGACTTGTCAAGTTATGGTTTATAACCAGACAAGTTCATAACTTGACAAGTTACGAAAATAGTAATTTAGCCTATTTATTAACTTATATAAACTATTGGCCTATTAATTTTAATTCAACTCAAGTCTTGGCCTATTTTCCTCTTTTTTTCCTTTTTTTTTCTCTTTTCAGCTCGAAAAATATTTGATTATTTTTTCCAATGTAGATTAATGAACTCATAATGTATGTGTGTGTTTTATGAGGAAAGTACATGATTTACCATGATTTTATGCATATGTATTATTTATACCATTTTCAATAATTAAGTATTATTGTGGCCTATAATTTTCTCTCTATTAATTAGATTGTAATTATTTATTTTTAAGTCGAGCGGTATAAATAATATTTTTCACCATGTTGAGCGGTAGTTTTTGAGTTTTTTTACTTTGTTTTTCGAACAATGCTTGTCCATAACTAAAAAGTCCGTAACTCGAAAACTTCATTTCATTCGGAACCGCAAGAGGATATATTTACATAACTACGATTCCCAATCCCAGCAAATACGTGTAGTTCTGGACGGCATATAAAACAGGAATACAAGAAGGGATTTTTTTTTTTTTTTTTTTTTTTCCTTTCTTCTATTTGTTGGAAGAAACTTAAGGCCTTATTGTTATCCTCTATTTCTGTCTCTTGGCCATGCACTAAAAGTCTAAAATGCTATTGGGATACATATATATATATATATGACCTAAGCATTTGCACTAAGCATTCTCCTAGAGAGACATTAAAGTAATTTCTATTTATACACAGCAACATTATATTATAAGTATCAAATTATAGACCTTGAGGTGCTAAATCACAATCCGAAGAACAATCAGACATGGAAGCTCGGTTGCCAGTACTTTCAACAGTACTCATTCCATATATATATGGCGTGTTCACTTGCATCCAATCAGTGCAGTCCATCTGTACATTGCTGGGAAGGAAGCAGCCAACGCTCATCATTGATTTATCATCAAGATTTTGGTGCCCATTTTGCTCAATTTCTTTTATCATCATTCCTTGTTGAGTATTGTTAGGATATTGCAGGTCCGTAATCATGTGATCACCTGTCAAAAACATATGATATATAGGTCAATCGTTTTAATTATTTTTATCATTAATTTTTGTTATTATAGAACTATATGCGACGCATTTTTATATTTGCGTGCGCTTATTAATGAATCGTGACAATCTATCGACTATATATGTGCAAATCATGCAACGATAAAGATGTCTCTCCTTCTCATCCTGAAATTCTTTTCAGGATGTTCTCATTTTCGAATCTTAACAGCCTCAATATTAGTCTTGCTCGAGCTGTACAACGTTGGATCATGGTTGGTTTGTATGAAATTGGGTTTATGTTTAAATTATAATTGAGTCAGGCTATGAGGCTTGGGATTTCTACTATAAATGCAAGTCAATTACTATAACTCTCTCTCTCAAAGCTTAGTAAAATCATGATTCATCAAATTGGTTTTTGGGTTGTGTTTTTTTTTTCTTTTTTTCTTAACCATGATAAATTTGATGTTGTTTGTGTTAGGAATGTTGTCCTAAAAGCATGAGATTTAATAAAAATAAATTTTTCATTATTTTATGTACATATATTGTTAAATACTTTATGAATATCATTGAAAATTCCGTAATTATTTATGTAATATTGTATATAAGTATTATATACGAAAAAATAATATTATTATTTCCTATTTATGCTCGAACCGCTTAGTCATCATATTGTATTCAAAGCCAAAATGTTAAATAATTGCAAAGGTTGAGCTAACTATCACAACGACAAAAGAGAATCTCACGAATAAAAAGCAACGAGAAGCAAGCAGTTTGTACTTTGTAGGCTGATTACTTGAAGTTTTAGTTCTAAGTTTGTAGGTCTTCTAAACCTCAATTCGTAGTGCTGGCGGTATAAAATGCTTTAACAAAAAAAAAAAGAACTTATTAAATCTTTCAATGGGAGATATCTAGATCTTCTTTACCCAAAAAGTGGTCTATTCTAGTTGGATACTGCTGACGATGAGAAAGAAGAGTTTGTTAGCTGTAATTCTGGTGATGATGTAATTGGCGTAGACATGAAAGACTTTGGTGGGATGTGCAAAGTTTCTAAACTTCCTTCCAACATCTCTATTACTTTGGTCATGGATGGTCTATCTGATGGCATTGTCTGTATGCACCACAAGCCCACTATAATCATCTTTCTTGCAATTTCATTTTCCTCATCCGTTTCAACACCACGCGGTGTTAAATTGCTATCTGCTTCGAGATGTTTATAGATATAATCAGGAAAATACCCTCCGCTCTTCTGAGTACATTCGGTCTCCGCTTCTCTAATGCTCTTTATCCCTCCGACCATCTCAAGGATCATCATCCCGTAGCTATAAACATCAGACTTGTGAGAAACTCCTCCAAAGTTTCTACTGCAAACTTCTGGGGCTATGTATCCTATTGTCCCTCTAGCGCCATCCAATGTCGATATGATACTCTCTTTCCTCGGACAGAGCTTAGCAAGCCCAAAATCTGTAATCTTCGGGCAAAGATCTTCATCTAAGAGGATGTTATGTGGTTTTATGTCAAAGTGCAAAATTCGAGTGTTGCAGCCTCGGTGCAAGTACTCGAGCCCTCGAGCTATCCCAATGCCAATCTGAAGCAGTTCATGCCACTCCAAAGACGGAGTAGTTTCCGAGCGATTATCATTTTGAATGAACTTCTCCAATGATCCGTTAGACACAAACTCGAAAACAAGTGCTCTTTTGCTACCTTCTAAACAAAATCCCAAAAGTGTCACAATATTTATGTGAGAAGTTCTGCTGATGCTGGCAACCTCATTAATAAAATCTTCTCCATTCCCTTTCGACGCGTTGAGGACCTTAACAGCCACGAGGCGTTCACCATCAAGAAGCTTTCCTTTGTACACTTCACCATAGCCTCCTTGGCCCAGTTTTTCTTTGAAAGATTTGGTCATTTTCTTGAGATCTGAGAATGCATATCTTTGAACATTGAGATATGCATAACTTCTAATGAAGTCTTCAAGGCCTTGATCATTTTTGTCCGTGAGATTTGCCCAAAACTTGGTCGACATAAGGGCTAATACCTTATTCTTGAAACAGCAAATCACGAAAGCTGAGAATAATCCAATTCCTGCATTGATGAACTAGTGAATCATTATTGGTCCAACAATAAAATACAATCAGGTAGTCCCAAAATATTTAATTATGGTCACTAGAATAGTTATATCAATAACTAATCAAACCATTACTAGGAAAAAATAAAAATAAAATAAAAAAAAAACCTGATCAAACCATGAAATTCTACTTAACCCCAACACAATTTGATCACCAGCTGTAGAAACTGTCATCTGACATGGATGCAATAATACGTAGTAAACGAATTATTAGACTCAAAATCACTTTAATTAAAGCGTGTGCCCATACCGAGTACAATCCTCAGAACATGCATCAAACTACTACCTGCATAAGATAATACCGTGCGTTAAACACAATGCAGAGTATATAAAGTTTTTTTTTTTTTTTAAAGAAAAAAAAAATAACAAGTTGAGGGATAGTCTAAAATTTATCCAAATTTGCAGGTTGAGTGGTTGACATGTTTTTCTAATATTCTAATTTGGCTTCGAAATAGAAAAATACTACTTTTAAGATGTCACTTGTTCTCAAAATGAAATAAGACTAATGAGCCTTCCCAAAATTTTGGATAAATTTTAAATTTGGTTCCCGAAAATAATAAGTTGTTTAACTTTGTCTCATACAGTTCAAAGTCACACAAAAATGACACCACACTTTTTATGAGTTGTAATTTTAATACTTTTATCGATGAAACATTTTCTTAACAGGTTTAATCATCATGCTGATGATCGGAGACTTTCATCCGGTGGCTTCATATAGATTACTGCCGGTAGTCTGATAGATTTTTTTTTTTTTTTTTTTTTTTTTTACATCGCTGCATGTAATTTTGATAACACGTCTTGTCGATCTTTGACTAATCCCTTAAAAGAGGAATTGATGAAAGTGTCATGATTTGAAGGTCAAAAATGAAAGAGTGCCCGTTTAAAGGCATATTTTTGTGCTTTCCCCTAACACTAACGATGGATAGTTATATTGCTTCCAATAAAATATCACGAATCTTACAATAATCGCACCACTAATTAAAAATAGTAATATCGCTTCCTTAAAAAAAAAAAAAAAAAAAAAAAAAAAAAAAAAAAAAAAAAAAAAAGAAGAAGAAGCATGTTGCTTGTGGCACAAGGAATAAAAATAAATAGAAGACATACCAGAATGAGAAGGACACACAGAATCCTCAGCCGATCCAGCACGGCAGAAGCAGAGAAATCGGCTGGTGGTAACATTCGACCCGCATTTCCCGCCCGATCGCTCGCACGCTCCGCACGCCATCCTAAACCGATGATCATACTCGACATCAAACCCTTCTTTCAAAGCCTCCTTTACTCCTACTAAACCCGTGGTACTCTTCGAAATCGAAACTCTAATCACGTTCCCACACGCCCTCAAACTCCCTCCCAAATTGCTCACCAAAGAATCGTTTGCATAATAAACAGTCTCAACATTCCCGCCATCACCCCCGCACGTGAAATTACTATATCCGTGTGAAACAAACTCTTGATGAAGTTGCTTTTGGCATTTGTAGATCAAAGTTAGATTCCCAACCGTTGGAGCGAACCGGAAGAGATTGTGATCCAGAGTGGTGTTGACATATTTCGGAGAGCAAGGACCATCCCAGAGATCTGATCTCGCTAGTGTCATGGAATCTGTATCGTTTGACTGGCTGACGTTGAGAATGAGGTAGTCTAGGCCGTTGATTTGGATGACCGGGTGGTGATAATTGTCTCCGCAATGAATTTTGAAGTCCCGGAGACCGCAGAATTCGGGCCTGGATTCTCCCCAAAAAGGGTATGGAAGGTTTTTGAAGTCTCCACAGCTAAGCTGCTTATTGGTACTGCAAATTGTGAAGTAGTACTGCTCGGAATTATCGCCTTCACAGTACGAAAATCGGATGGTTAAAAAGATAAAGATTGTTATGGCGAGGGATTTTGGTAACAGCTCCATATCATTTGGTCTGAGATTTGCCGTTGGGGTTTGACAGAAAGATATACATATGTATTATAAACAATTGGCAATAGTAATGCCAAATTAGTTATTGAATGATGCTGATTCATATTTTGCCAAAAATCCGGAGACGGCCCAGACGTGCAATGCTTTGGGCAAAGAACGCTAAGTTGGTTTGTAATAAGATTTTTCATGGAAAACAGATAAGAGAAAGAGACAGGAAAGAGATGTGGCTTTAAGTCTCGAACAAAACTACAAAGACCAATATGCTGCCAACAGACTAGTAGTCATTGTGACGCAGTTAGAGGTCACTATGACTAATAGAAAGAGCAAACGTACAGGAAGCAATGTCTATTGAAGAAACGTGGAAAGTGGGTTTGAAAACTTGTCTATTGAAGAAATGTGTGTTTCTATATAATGGTGGCGGATGTATGCGAAAGGTAATTTCAGACCTGAGTCCTGTAAACTTTGAGCCCCTTATCGCTAAATTTAATAAAAATGTTGATTATTATGTGCGAATAAATCACACTAATAATTAAGGGTAGGGCTTCCTACCAATAGGGTCTGATTCTAACCATTTTATCTAATTAAAGTCATATCAAAATAAGAAAATATTTGAAATGAATGGTGTTTTTGACGCTTAGAAACGGAAAACTATGGGTGCGTTTGGAACTCGTTTCAAGATGATATTATTTTTTTTTGTATGAAAATGAAAATAAAAACATTTTCAATCTCAAACAGAAATCATTTTTGAAAATGCATTTGGTAATTTTATCAAGATATTGTTTTCACTATAAAAAAATCCATTAATATCTCTCTCTCTTTCTCTCAGCTCAAGAAAGGAGAAAATAAAAATAAAAAATAAAAAACGACTAAAAGTCGTTTTTCATTTTACTATCATTTTACACTAAACTTAAAAATCGTTTTCATTTCTATTTTTTATTTTTATTGCGCCAAACGCCGTTTTATAAATGTTTTCATTTTTTCTTTCTCCAAAAACATGAAAAACAAAAACGAGATCAATTCCAAACACAGCCTACATGTTCTTTCTTTTTTGAAACCCTAGTATAAAAATCTCCTACTAACAAACAAGCACGCGAGAAAAGAGTTTGAACATTCTAAGGGCCCGTTTAGTTCGTTGATTCAAGTTTTTAATTTGAGTTGAGATGTAATTAACTTTATGCGAGAGCTTTTTACTATAGTAAAAAAGTTAAATGTGACTGTTTCTGAGAGCTTTTTACTGAAATAAAACTCAAATTGATAAAATAAACGGGGCCTAATATGTCTCCCAACTCAAAAATATCTAACTAGATAAATAAAAGGAGAAACATTCTGCCAAAATAGTGGAGTCCCAGAATCGGTTGAAGTCTCTATTGTACAGCTTGCGAATAAATAAACGTTTTGTTATTTAGTTAGCCATCTTGTGTAATTATCCAGCCTCCTCCGAACTGGTCATAAGTTTATGATTACGTACGGAATTTTTCCTACGGAGAAAAGTCAAAACTTTTGTTATTTGTCTCTAACTTGGAAGGAAACTCGATAGTAGGCGATGTAGAGAAAAGCGTGTGCCAATTTGGACGTATGAAAATAAAAGGGGAAAATCTCAGAAATACAACCCAAAATGTTTCAGAGTTAGGATTTCACCTAGCTCTCTGGTTAGCTTTTTCGACCACGTGGAATATGGAGAATAGTGTTGGACTTTTGGGCGGCGGGCATGCCCGATGCCCGAAAATTTTCGGGCACAGCGGGCATGCCCCTCTCGCCGCCCGAAAATGTTTTTCTTCGGGCACGGGCTTGGATAGCCCGAAAATGGTAAGCCCCCCGACAGCCCGCCGCCGTGGAGAAGCCTTCCCCCGCCGTTCGCCGGATTTTTTTTGAATTTTCCGGCAAATACCCGAACTGCCTGAATTTTTGCCCGAATTACCCAAATTTTTTGTGACCGTTGCCCGAATTTCAACCCGTGCCCGAAAAATGCCCGATTTTTTTTTACCGTTAGCCCAAAAATGCCCGAATTTTGAAAAAAAACGTTCTTTTGCCCGAACCCGAATTTTGCCCGAATTTTTGAACCAAACGGTCGGATTTTTATCCGTTGCCCGAACTGCCCAAATTTTGCCCGCCCTGCCCGAAAATTTTTTAGCCGTTGGACCCGAATTTTTGGGGGAAAAATTTTTTTTTTCAACCCAAAAATTTTCCTATAAATACCCCCCTCCCCCCAACCATTTTCCTCACCCCAAAACTCTCATTCTCTCTCAATTTCTCTTAATCTCTCTCAATTTCTCTTAATCTCTCTCAAATCTCTCTTAATCTCGCTTAAATCTCTCTCGAATCTCGATCTCTCTTAAGCTCTCTCAAAGCGCTCTCAATCTCTCTTATTTTTCATAATGGCTTCTTCTGGTTATGGTGGTGGTGGTGATATTCCTATTGATGCCCAATTCAACATCGAAGAAGGGCAATTTCCTAATGTTTTTCAATCGCAGGAATCGCAAACTATGGAAAGAGATGCTGAT